AAATTAAAGGAAGATATATATTATCATAACTTTGTGAGTGTATTTGGTGAATGGCTCGTTCTTCGACATGCTCTTAGAATCTGTCTTCCTGTCAACAAAACAGTTATGAAAGCTTTTAGGAGGGCAAAAATAGGTTAGTCCTATATAGGAACAACGTGCGTGGTTTTGTTAAAGGCTAGAGATGATATGTGTGAAGTGTGATGTGTCAAGTATATTATTTGCCCCAAAAGAGTGTTTCTCGGACATGGTTGGAATCATTTTGAAAGTGGGAAGAATAGTGATATAATTATGGAGAGGATTGGAGGAAGAATTTTTGGTTGAGTGATCGATGAAACTTCGTCATCCTCGATTGAGAATATAATTTGATAATCGCACGCATATATGTTAGAGATTTTTTAAGTAGGAATAAACATTGACAAATTCAAGTTTAGGTAAAAAAACCGATCATCTATTCAAATTTAGGTAGAAAAAAGCATCCGACAAATTGTTTGGATTGATTTTGACCGTTTTTCCCGATTTGGTTTCTTTATTTTTTCCGTTTGAGATAGTTATTATATATCTAACATAGATCAAGGACTCCCGGGTTTCAGATCTAACGGACTTTCATTATAACGCTTCATTAAAGTGTAAATATGATACAAGTTTAACTTAAATACTAAGAGTTACACCATATAGATAACGACAACTAAACCAGTTCTATATACACTCTAATACCGGGTTAACATTTTTTGGGTCATGTCAAACGTAATGTGCTTTTCATGGTAAGATCGGACTACGTACATTGTGTAGTTCATTCGATAAAATGTGGTTTTTGCATATTTGTCACATATGTCTTTCAAATGCATTGCCAAATTTGTGGTAGCTTAAATAGCCTACTGGCCAAAACGATCATTGTATTGATTGTAGCTTTGTTTTTGAAGCAAAGCAAACGTCGAACTATTTTATTTATTAGAAGTTATGTATATATGTGTATATCCATTTAATTGATTCATACATACTAAACATAAGATAATAATAAAACAAAACAAAGGTCACATATAACACGGGAATATTATCAGGATAAAGTATCATTATTATTTTGACGTATGATAAATGAAGTGATATTTATTTTGACTTACTTACATCTAAGTAATTAAAGTGTACCAAATAATTAACGACATCATTATAAGATTCTCGTTTCGTTATTATTAAATTCGACTTTTGTGTGTTATAGCTTTTGCGTTTTCATTGAAATTTCCTAATTTCTTATGCATTTGTTATCTAATTAGCTTTTTTGGTTTATCTCTTTTTCATAACAAAATGAACCTATGGGGAAGTTGGGAACCCATTAGATATGATCACAGATGGTAAGTCATATCTCATAATTACCCAAAAAAATAGTTGTTACATGGTTTTCAAACTTTATGATCAGGACTAGCCTAATATACTTAGAAGAAGACCTATATATATGCCTACATATTTGTGAAAACAGTCACAAATTTTTGGGTTATGCCGACAGATATTGACCACATATCTTGGTGACATCTGACGAATATTTTAACCAGTATAAACTAATATTCTTAGAAATACGAAATTCATTTTCTTATAAAAAGTTTCGTAGACTGATAAATAATATATATTTTAAAATATATATATTGTTCGTTGAAGTCTATTTTTTCTAATATAACTAGATGTTAACCAATTTGACATCAATGAATACAACTTAAGGTCATAATTCTAAAAAAAAAAAGATTAATTCATTATTCGGTCAACCACTCCATTACATCATCTCGACGAGTTAAATAAATTTACCATCTTGAAGGTGAAATATCAAGCAATGATTTTTCCAAAATTTAAGAGAATTTTTATTTTATGTACTAATTATGTTTTGTTAAATATTTTGATATTTTAATATTAAGTAAGATATAAATTTGATATGGTACACATATTTTGTTGATATGATATTTTTAACCCTTATTTATTAAGATGTAGTGCTTAAAAATTGTTATTATGATTTTTTGAACGTTGGTAAAATAAATACAAAAAGCTGACGTGGAAGATGAATGTACATATATTTTCTCTTGAAATACATACGTATCAAAAAGGACTTTTTGTACAATCAAATTCAAGAGGCAAATGATAGATGTGTACTTCACATCTAACGTGGAAAAATCTCCCCATTGCGCATACCAAGTATTCTTCAAGATGCCTCTTTAAAATTCGTTGCATATTGTCATTTGATGAAATATTATCCACTCTAATTGTGAATCCTCTATTTTCTAGTCCCCAAAAGTTTTTGACTATTATGGCATGTATGTGGAGGTAGAAATGCACATAATGATAAGATTTTCATGTTCACTTTCATCCATTATCAATAGTGTGTAGTCAAACACATGTAAGATACCTCTGTTGTGAGTACTCTCCAAAGATCAGTTGTTAAATAAATTCTACCAGGAATTTCATCTTAAATCTTTCTAAGTTTTTGTATCTCATTCTCATATATCTTTAATTAATTAGATGATGCTGTATTTATAGTCCAAAATTCTATATCATAATTGACATAAAGAAAAACAATTTTTTTTACCAAAAAATAACAAGGTAAATCATGCTCTATAATCGCCAATCCAATAATTTCTCATAACATCATTACGTCTAGCTTCCTATTTCTACATAGACTGCTTCCCAGATTCTTTGATCAAACTCGCATGTGACGCAACAACATAGTGGTACCACTTCTGTGTAGATCTACAAAACAAGAATGCTCACAATGGTTGCATCTCACATTATTCATACCATTAGGCTATTTATCTTCAACAATTTTAAAACTTTTCTGACACTATGAATGTTTACGTTGACTTCTTTTTTTGTACTCAGTTGTACTTACTAGTGAGAATCATCTTCACCATGCACCTCAACAAGATCCTCAACTTGATTCACATCATCCTCATCCCCAATCATATAATCATCATCAACACGGTTTAGAGTATCCTCGTTATCCATCTACGGTTACATCCATATGAGATTTTTGAATACATCTATGAAGCCAGTACTAACCACACTCTCGAAAGCCATTACAAGACAGATTCTAACCACACTTTTTGAACAAAATCAATCAACCGCACTATCTAAAGCCACATTACACTAAACTCGCAAAAAAAAAAAAAATTCATTGGCAACATGCAAATGCAGAAGGGTCTCTCTTTCTCAAAATGAGTAAATGGGTCTCATAATCACAAATGGATCACGCTCACCTGATTTTGATTTGAAAGGAATTGGAGAGATTGAATGAAAACATCGACTGTAGCGATGACGGGCTGACGGGAAGGAGAATGACGATTGACTAGGAGAAAGCTAATGACGAAGGGGACTATTTAGAGGAGTAGAGAGAAGAAGAGGATGAGAGGTTGAGAGTGAAGACGGAAGAAGAAGAAGATTCAGAGGACTAGAGCTTTGAGGAGAAGGAGAGGATGAGAGATTGAGAGTGAGTTTTAGCCGCTTAGGTTTTTAGTTTATGCTTGAATTTTTCTCCGAATCGATTTTAACCTAGCTTTTCAAGTGTTATCGGCGGCCCAATGTCCATATTGTCCAACCCGTTTTGTTTGAAAAGTCAACCAAAACCATTTAAACCCTTTCTAAATATGAATTTGTCCATGACCAATCCATAATAAATTTGACATGGACGGGCCATGGACAACCTATCCAATTTAACAGCTCTAAAAAAGGGGTTCTCCAAAACTTTTAGCCAATGCGTCAATGCTCAAGACTTCCTATTATCATCATTGTTACTTTGTTAAATCGTTAGATTTTCTTACTTTAGTTTAAATTGTTACGTATAGCCAAATGCTCATGGCTTCCTTTCATCTTCATTACTTTGTAACTCATGTTTTGCTCCTTACAGTGTGTTACTTGTCTCTTTCACATTCACAAGCAACATTATAAGTCAACCATTCACACTCTCAAACAACACGCATCAACCAATAATCTTACCATTCATAATTCTTTATTCAATCAATAATCTCACCATTACTACGTTATTGACTAGATAACTTATTCAAGTTCACCCAATATCAATCTGGCTACACCCGACGGCTAGATCTTTACTCGAAGTCTCATCGGATTTGATCATACTCGAACCAAATTCATGCTACATGAGATTTGTTTTTCATGCTTTAATAACTTTTATACACTGTCCTAATAATCTGTCTAAAACACTTAAATCATTAGAAAGCTTTTACAAAAAACATTTACCCTTGTTCGATCATCTCATTTAAGATCCTATATATATCATCTTATCATAGCACATAGGTCACATGGATGTTTCACAATTGTTCAATAATTATTAAACACATATATAAGTTAAGTCAATCCAAAATTTATCGAAGCTAACTTTCTTGTGGTTTCTATATGCTTCTTGTATTAAATTAAACAGATATATATGTAAGGAAATACAACGCTAAACAATCATTAGACAATCAATTAGCTATTTTGTACAAGTATCAAATTAAAAACTCAAGTAGTTAGTTAAAGCTCTTTAACCAAAACAGCCGAATGAAAGAAACTCATATAATGAAGTTAACAAAGCATTAAGCATATAATAAAGTTTAAAACGAATCAAGAAATTTTTCAACCAAATCGATAACAGTTTTGGTCCAATTTGCATATTTTGACTAATTAACCTGAGGCAATCATCACTGATCAAACATAAAACTCATACAAACCACAAAATCTGCATAAAAACATTCGAGCCCTACAGTTCTTTTTTACTTTAAACTATGTAAGGATCTAGTAAGACATAGCAAGTCACTTTGGTGTAGTTCTGTTTCATTTGGATTTCAGTAGCCATCACTTGTTTCTGGCTATAATGAGTTCGCAGACCAGAGAGACTATAACGTGATATTGGTTCATAACTCCAAGTCTACAGAGCCATGGCAATCTAATGTGACCAAACTCCGGATCAAGATGATTATAAAAGAGGCTTTGTATTTGATGTAATGTAATGTTGTAACTAAGACAAGTATCCCTCTACCAAGAATCAAGATCATTACCTTTACTATCAAAAGCACAGAGACTTTATCTTACAGTATGTTTAATTCCATTATTATTACTACTGAGTGTATTGTTATTAGCTGCAAATGGGACAACGAACAAGACCATTCTCATTACACTCCATACACTTCACTACTACAGCTTCACTTCCCCATCCTTCCACCACTTTACAGCTCCCATTACACTCCGAACACGGCAAAAACGCTAACCCGCCGCAGCCGTCGCAACCGCCTCCGCACCGGTCTTTCTTCCTCGGGATCCCGCTAAGCAAATCACCAAGCAAACCTTCTTCAACCAAACTCATCACTTCCTCTTCTCCACCAATGTACTTCCCTTTCACAAAAACCCTCGGCGGCAACACCACCGCCGCCGTTGAATCACCGCCGTTTCTTTCTCCGGCCATGAGATTCGAAAGCTCTTCTCTGAATCCCTTATCCATAGACAAATCTCTCTCACAAACCACAACACCAAAACTCTCAATCGCAGCTCTCACGGCGTTACACGCCTCAAACGTACGCCGGACACCGCGCAACGACGTCGTGTAAATCACTACACGATCCTCTCCGCCGCCGCGTAGTCTCTCAGATTCCTCCGCTAATTTCGGATCTAACGGTTTCAAAACCTCCTTCTTCAACAGATTCGAATCCCTAGGGCTTTTCAAATTAGGATCGGAGTTCTCTTTATTCACAATCACACCACCACCGGAGACATTACATTTCGCCGGAATAGGAGAGAATCGGCAAGTATCGCCGCCGTCGAGACCTGACATTAGCTCCCAGAAATTAATAACCTCCGTCGGCTCAGACTTAACAACAACCATCGTATCCTTACCGTTTATAGTAAATCTCTCAGGCGGAGTCATCGGAGATACCGCGGAGGTTACGGAGGAGGAAGGAGGAGACGGAGGAAGAGGATGTGAAGAGTCGAGATTGAGAAGACCATAAGTGGTTGAAGTTAGCTTAACGAAATGGTGAGTTAAGCTAGAGGCGGTGAGGTGAGACGAGAAGCTTTCATCGGTCGGATTAAGGAGATTTGAAGAGACGCAACCACCCATCGCCGGAGATCTCAACGTCGGAGAAAATAAGAAAGGGACGGAGATTGAGTGAAAGAGACGGTGAAGTAGACAAAATAAACAAAAACTGCTAATTAGATAAAACTTTTTTATAAGAATACAAAAACAGATTTATAAAGTTGGGAATGGGAAGCGTGACAATGCACGTGGCCTTTTTTGTTGTCATTTTAATGTCTATATTATTCGTTGAATGATATAATTTTTATTTTTTTGAAGATATTTTTGTTTGATTAATACAAAGCTAATTCGTTGAATTAGGATTGAAATCTGAATCAATTAATTTGGTTGGAGTAAGAGAACCTAGATAGTTATTGTAAATTTAGTTAGTAGGAGATCAGAGATTATTATGAGTTTTAATACACTAAGTCAACAGGTTCATGATAGTTATGGTAAGAACTAAAATTAATTGCTTGTTTAGGTTAGGTCAATATACAATATATCTAAAATGCCTTAGGTACAACTTTTTACTTTTGGTAAAATAAGATTTTTATTAGAATTAATTTTTGATTCACACTTGAATAAATTAGATCAAATAATTAACACTCACATAAATATTCTTTTACGCAGTTTGTGTGTTTATCGATATTTACACACACATAAATATTAATTTTCTCTTTAGCTTTTAAGAAACATCTCTTACCAAATGTTAAGGTAAAAATTGGTTAAAAGCTCATGGATAATAGTTGCATTTGGATATAAACTCAAAATCACATTCACGTAGAACAATGTTCACAAGAAAACTTCGTTTTCAACATCTCTTTCATGAAAATCTTCAATAATAATTTGTCAAATCTGATTTTAATTTTATAATCTTTTATGGCGAATCTCATTGATCAATCCCCTTACAATTGGAAAATCATTATATTTGTGAATTTATTGGTTATATGGTTCATAATTTTGCCTAAAAAAAAGTGTGAGTTCAAAATTTTCGAACATAGATGTTATAAAAGGATCGCCGTCGTGAGATCAAAATTTTCATTGCTGTGCTGTGAAGGTTACTTCCCTGTTTGAACCTCTGCAAATCCGTTTACTCCAAAGCATCTACATTACAAAAGTGTATTTGAAATCCTTTTACAATACTTGAATTTATGTAATTTATCTCTTTAATTCATTTTTTATCCAATACCCCTCCTAAAACGATCTAATTAAACTCTACTCGTTATTTACACAAATAAAACGATCAATTAAACTCTCGTACCACTCAAATTTAGATATTAGATTCTTACAAGAGAATTTTTGATCAAAATTAGTCCATATGCATTTGAAAATCATTCAGTTGTAAATTGCTAATTTTTGTTTTTCAGAGAGTCTAACGTTTTATCTATTATTTTTATAATTATCAAAATAATTTCATGACTTCTATTATATCTTCTCCCGTCTGACTTTCAGAATTTTGATGTATTTACTTTTGATAAATATTTTAAAGCATATAGATCGATTATTCTTATTTTTAAATCTCTATGTCCAATTTGTACTTGATTGGAACATTCCAAATTATCCAAATTAATGGATTAGTGGTTCTCGTGATATAAACTTACAAGAGTTTACATGAGTTAGATGATGTATCATACTATTAAATGATGTATGTGTGATGTGTTATCACGAATGAGAACAATTTTAATAATTGAAAAGATAAACTCTAATTATATATATAGCTGGAAATATTTTTCCTAAAATAATTGAACCAAATTTCAAATTAAGAAGGTAAAAATTTATATGCAATTGTAATTTTTTTTCCATTGAGCGATCGTTACTAAATTATTTTTATCTTTTCTATAACTTTAGCTATATTTTCAGTTTTAAATAGTTAAATTTTTCTTCTTTTATGTCGTTGGTATCATTTTGTTTGGCGGCAAATTTAAACGGACATAGGTGCTAATATTCATTGTTCATTTGTTTCCGTCAAAATTAGTTGATCGATAAATTTTAAGTTTATCAAACATTCTAGTGTAAATTATTCACTTAAACTAATAAAATCAATAAATAGAAAAATCTATTAATTTCTATTTTGATCATGACTAGTATCATGTTCGATTTGAAATTCAATTATTTTTAAATTTATAAGTTCATGAGCACTCTATTTTTTTGGTCAACTAAAGTTCATGAGCACTCTATGGAGTCATATATGCCTTATTCACATTTTTGGTTATCTAAAAAGTTCAGCTATAACTGTAATGTAATTTTAATACTATTAAAATCGTATTTTTTTTTTACAAGTTTAGTAGGAATAAATTTTAATTGTTTTATTCCCGTGAGTATTATATGCAGACTAGTAGATTCTTAAAAAATTGTCATGATTAAACAAAAATAGTTATTTGATAAAATGAACCGACTCTATTTAAAAGCTCGACCAAACGGTTAAGTCTGAACCACCTCCATACAACGAAATTGATTTTTAATTTCTCTGGTTTAGAAATTTGACCCGGAACTAAAGTTTATTCGGGTCGGGTTATAACTTTTATAAATAATGCCCTCACAATCTCATCTTGGTCGCTTCGCAATTTCTTCTTTTTTACAATTCTTTTTTTCTTTCTTTGTTTTTGGTTATTTCCTCCGATTTGAGAGTTTGCTACCTCGGAACCTCTCCTCCGACATCGTACCGTCTCGTTCAATTGAGCTGGTTCATCTTCTCCGACGAAGCTTACTTATACCCTCAATTAGGGTTTCAAGAAACACCGCCCAACCCAACAATCACGTATCAGTGAATGGTATCGTATCGTGTTCTCAATTTTATCGAGCTTTGATTGCAACTCAGCTTAACTCGAAGAATTGATCAATGGGGTTTCGATTTGGGTGTGTTTAGAAGCTAAATTGAGTCGCTTTTTGATGAAGTTGTTGTTTTGGGTATCTTATCAGATAAAGAAGTTGGCTTTTGGTTCCAGGTCCGTTTAGGTTGGTTTGTAATTGTGTAGTTTTTTTTGTTTCTCTTGTAGGTTTTGATTGAGTTTTGATGGTTTCGGGATCTGGGAGGGAAAACTATATTGCCGTCTTCCGATTTCGACCATTGTATCTGAAGCTTTGAATATGGCTGAAGCCAATGGCAACGGTCCCCACAACGAGGATTACCCAGGTAGCTCTATGCTGCTCTCTTATCAAAAGTTTGTTGCTTTCTTATGGTTTTGGTCCATCGTCGAAAATGGTTATGGTTTCTTACTTGTGGAATGTTGGATTAGTATTATATCTGGAACTAGATATGTCTCTGAGTAGCTACTATCGCTGCACTTAGACCAGCTCATGAACGATATGTGGTTTTTGAGTATTGCGGATTTCCTTGAGTAGAAAAGGATTAGTCTTTGAGTATCCTGGACATGTTCGAGTTAGGATCCTTTTTTCTAAATTTCTAGTGGGAAGAGGGTTTGTAGGAATTTAGTTGACGAAGAGATTGGGAAAAGTAGTGTCACTTGATAGCCTGATAATGTGACCTTGGATATTGCAGTTTAACAAGAGTGTAATATGCAATCATAAATTAAAGATTAGTGCCTTGTGATTCTAAATACTTATGATGATTAGCACATGCATTCCCCATTGCTAGCAAAGATTTGTTTGGTGAACACCAATATTTTACATGTCAGTTGCAGATGAAGATGAGGAATATGAGGACAACAACCAGGGTTTTAACCTTGGATTCATCTTTGGAAATGTTGACAACTCTGGGGACTTGGATGCGGATTACCTTGATGAGGTAGTTGGTTTAGCTCTGTCAGTATGATGACCTTGTTGAACACATTATTTCATGGAATAATCGGTTTTACTTTGCTGTCTCTTCTCTCCGGACTTAAGATATATGTATTTTTCAACAATGAGTTGCAAATTCTCCACCAAGCATATGTGCCAATGATAACATTTAAACTTTACAGGACGCCAAAGAACATCTTTCTGCGTTGGCAAATAAGCTGGGTTCATCTCTACCAGATATAAATGTAACATTCTACGCACTCTTCGACATTTTGTTTTTCTAAAGTTTATAGGCGAGTGAATGCGAGTCTTTTTGTGATTTTTAATCCTCTTTTTGTTGTACTGGGATGCCAATTATGGTGTTTCTAAACTCAACAGTCGTTGGCACAATCAGAACGTACAACAAGTGATCCAGCTGAGCAAGGTGATGTTGTCTGCCAGGGTGTCTATCTCATGCAGTTTTATTTTTTTTATTTAACTTCTAGTTTGCATTCTAGCCTTTATTTAGACCATACTGGAGGATATACTAGGAAACCTGCTAGAAACTTTTTCTCCCAGTGGACGTTTCCATCGCAACGGTCTTGCATTCTTCTTAGTTCCTACTTAATTATTAGTTCGTTTTTACAGTGCCTTGCGTAAATCATATATGCGACTGACACTGGAGATCATTAAATATAGACATTCCTACTCATAGTAGCTACATACTAATACTATTTACAATACCCAAATCCTGGTCATCATCTTCATTGAATGTGATGATATGTTGTGTAGATTATGATAGAAAAGCTGAGGATGCTGTTGATTATGAGGATATTGATGAAGAGTATGATGGTCCCGAAGTTCAAGTAGTTAGTGAGGAAGATCATCTATTACCAAAAAAGGAGTACTTTTCTACTGCTGTTGCTTTGGGTAGTTTAACTTCCAGAACTTCTGTGTTTGACGATGAGGATTATGATGAGGAAGAAGAACAAGAGGAGGAGCATCCGCCAGTTGAAAAATCGTTTGAAACTGATAAGAGGGAACCAGGTTTGCATTTCAAAATTTATGTTTTTTGAACAAAAAGATTAGCATATAGTAAAGTGTAGTTTTGTTGTGTCATCTCATGACTCTCAAATTGGTTTAGGTGAGTTATTATCCCGGTATTTTTACTTGTTCAGCTCAGGCAAATGATTACTACCAAAGCTGTAGTGCGTTGTTAAGTCCTTGAGATCAGAAAAATGGAGTTTATCTTATGTCTCTTGTGTCACTGATTATAAGACAAAAAAAAATTGTGTTGCAGTTGTCTTAAAGGAAGATAAGGTCTTGGAGTATGAAAAAGAGGCTAGAAATTTGGAAACCGAGGATCAGATGGACACAGAAGATGTCCAGGAGGTCAGTTTCCCCCTCAAAATAAAGGGAAATTG